ATTGAACCCAAAATGTTTAAAGGGATGTCCGAGTCAAAAATATGTATTTGCAATGTCAGTGGTAGTACAAGTGAGAGAGAATTGATCATTAAAGAGCAAGACGAGGCTTTTGCTGATTCACTGACAAAAGATAAAGCCAAAGAAGAAATCAGGAGGGATTCAACTGAAAACGAAAAAGACAAAACAAAGACAAAACGACAACAAAGGAAACTCTGAGACAAAAGCGGTTACTTCACGGACCAACTGATCCAACTGATTCAGTAAGTGCCAGAGTTATTGTACAGGTTCGTTATCCACTGCTTGGTATCCAGAGACGTAATTTTAACACTACAGACCAAACTCTGTCGATATATGATTGGATAGGATTGTCAAATGTTCCAATCACCGAAGTTGACAGAGTGACACTATTTATGACAGAGGTTAATTGCTGCCCATGTAGGTCTGATGGAGATCCTGATATTCAGTTTCAAGGTTTTGGTGAGGCTCCATATCTCAATATTTCTGAACAAGTACCAGCCAGGTTAATGGTAGGAGACTCTGATGATGGAGAGGATACATTAAATATTGTCCAGTAAGTTGGATTAACATTATGTCATTTTTGTCATGAACCCGCATTCTAAATTATGACTCAGTTTATTTTTTTATTCCTATTTCAGACAATCCATGAGTAATGATGAAAATACAGATGATCAAGAAAAGGTATAGTCCCAGTATATAAGCATGAAGTAAAAAAATAATTAATCTAATTAGTTTAATTAAAAAAAGGAAATGAATGATACAACAATATTAAATTATCAGAAGCTCACAAAGATATTTATGTAACAAAACTTTAAATTACAAATGCTCAAGCTCAATAAATTAACTTATTTTAACTGCCTTTCTTGCTAAATACTTAAATTTCACATTATTTCGTTATACACTCAGGTTATTCTGGGAAATTGCATAATTATCCTTTGGTTAATTCAAGTGAGATTCATAGTCCACATAAAACGAGTTTTATCACTAGATACCACTCCACAAGCACCATTTACATCTCAGTTTTGATACCCGACAATTATTTTGCAATTTAGTGTATTGATTTTGCAATTGAGTGTATTCTGTTTTACTTTAGTTTAGATAATGTTTACTTTATTTTCCCATTAAATAGACATATGCTTCTGGAAGGCTGAATAGTGGGTACTTTAATTTGAAACAAAACAATCACTCACTGGTTTAATATACGAGAAGTTATCTTAAACCAATTTCTCCCATAAGCCATGTATTAAATTTATCTTGAGCTTCGTTACTTAACGAATAAACGAACAAACAAACAATAATGAAACATTTATATGTATATATATACACACTCGATAGCAGAAACGTTGTAATATACATTTATACATATATCTAATTTAATCAGTATATTTAATGATATGCAAAACAGAAAAAAATGGGGCTAAATGTAATTTAGGCAAAGTTAAAACCACAACTAAGCCTGCTAGCCTAAGCACCGTTGGCCAGCGGACCATCCACGCCACACATTCGCCCTCATTCCGGGTGGCGTGTTCACTAGCTGGCTTGTAGCTTGTATGCCATCTATGCATGCTTGTCATCGTACAAGTTGCGTTTACTTTGTCACTCGCTTTTATGGCTTTTGAACTACCCTGTTAATAGCAATGGCCGATCCACCTTCTCCACAGTCTTCTGTAATTTCTACCGAATTGCTGAGGTTATTCAAGCCGCCTTTGAGTCAGCTATAGCAAACAGAGAACAACCAACCTCGTCCGCCCAGCGAACACAACGACGACTTCGAGCTACTCAATGGGCATTTGTCGTTGGTCTGGGCCACTCGCCAGTACCACTGAAGCTCAATGCTCAGACTGTCACTGGGCGGTTTATCGACCTGAGCAACTTGCTACTCACTAACCTCACTCCAGCAACTGAGGACGTGAACCACAACAGTTGTTGGACGGCCAGCTGGTGTTAACATCCAAGCCGAAGAAAAACAAATGCCTCATAGAAGATATCATTAGCTAGATGGAGACCTTTTCCATCTACATGCTTGTGCTGACCCACAGTGTATTTCCCCAATAGACGGGCTGATCTTACGAGATATAAGTTGCTTGGCTCTCCTACTCGATAAGCCTTTCGAGAACTACAACTGACCAAACCAGTCTGCATCTTGTGGAACAAGGGTAGATATGTATCTTGTAAGCCCTTTAATATGTTATCTCTTATTTTGCTTATTGCTGCAACACTTTTGCTTGTCGTAAGACCATTGCACTAAACACTTATTGTCGCTGTTTTTGCTTCGACACTTTTGGTAGAATTATTATTGCATTTATCACTAATTATCATGCTGATACATTGCTACGGCTGTTTTGCTTGTATTAATATGGTATCCATCACTTTTGGCACTTCTTTATTGAGTCAGCTGTACCGTTGCCTATTGCTACGACAGTGTGCTTGTCGTATTATCATTGCATTCATCATTATCAAAGCTGAATATTAAATTATAATTATTTATAACTAAGCTTTATTATTTAAGCTTTACATATAGTTAAATATTGAAGAACAAATACATTTTTTTCTGTAATATGGTAATCATTTATGCGTGCTTGTTAATTGTATCATTTTTTTGTATCAAAAAGAAAGGGAGAGCAGATGAAAGATGAAATGTAATTGTATTATCTGCCTTCGATAATGAAAGTGTAAAAGAAGAAATAGGCAAAATAGGAGATGACAAGGTGGAATTAGATGCTGAGAAACCCAAGTATTACGAGGAGAACCAGAATATCCCTATCTTTATTTCTGGTAAATATTCACCTACGTTTGCCAATCCTTTTGATAAATTAGTAGATTCAACTAACTTGGAGTTGATTTGCTCTGAGCTGACCTCTTTTGTTGACCATTACTTATCCTTTGTCATATCGTGCAAGTAGTCAGATGTGCCACTCTGATATTTCATGTGACATGCATAGTGGGTGGGTTAACGAGAGCAAAATTTCCCATGCACATTTTTTACTCGTTAGAAAATATCTTCACCATAGAAAACATAACAAATCACGCAATCGATTTTTTGCGAACAGCTTGATATTGCCGTTACTATAATTCACATCTTACCAGTTTTCGTAATGAAAAGGCGTTTGTGCGTCTGTTGTACACATTTCATCGTTTGTTTAATAATCCCAAGAGTGAATGACACCATCTGTCGTACACATTTCATCGTTTATTTAATAATCCGAAGAGTGAATGACACCATATTTGGTAAGAAGAGCATCTACGCGCCAGGTTTCAATTTAGTCCTTGTTCGCATTACATTYCATTCTTGTCAGAGACTCAAGAACGATGTCTCCTTAGCTTTCCGAAAAGAAAAATGCTACAATCGGATACCAATAAGACTTGGTACGCTTTAAATGAAGCTATTTGTGGCTCCGCTCCAAGAAAGTTCTGCAGTCAAAGTATATTTAAAGTTATCAAAAACGAAGTTGTTTATGAAAGTATAAGAGACTTAAGTTCCAAAGATGGCGAACCAGTCGGCATCAATGTTTTCAATTCGTGTTCGAATTACTGAACGAATTGTGTATATGTTTGATCTCCTTTGGGGATTATAGTTTGTCTGCTAAGAAAACGAAATCTTGATTTAGTTTTCCTTAAGAGCGATTGCTTTGCCAAGATAAAAGCAATGATCAATAGCATTGCTCTCGAAGAAGAAATCCCGCCAAAATGTCAGCTTCAAAATCCTCCTGTTACTCCTTCTAATTCTGTGTGCACTGCTGAAGGCCACATTAACAGCTTGCAGACAAACCGAATAATACAACATCGCTCGACAAAAATAGGAAAAGAAAACTCCAGCCGAAATTTACCCTCGAAAGCCCACCAAATTCAAGTATGCGGGATGGTAAGAATCCTGCAATCCTGCTTGATTTACACATTTTCTATTACTCATGTTTTAGGAGTCATGGCAAGCAAGTTTGTATGAAAAATTCAGAAATGAGACGAAGTCAATTGAGGATGACCCAGAGGTCATACAACACAAAAGGAGAAAGACTGATGACAAGACCACAACTATAAGTGCCAATCTGAAAAGAGGCACTATAAACTGGGAACCCCCATATCCAGAGGGAGAAGATAAAGTATCTCTGAATAGGCATAAGAACTTCTTGCAGAGCGAAAGTGGCAAAAGAAAGCCAGATTGGGAAAAAAATCTCCAACAGTATGGAAATTACATTTCCTGATAGGAGACGCTTCATGAACGAGAGAGAGTCCAGCAATTGTTTACATCATGAGGGAATATTCCACATTATTTAATTTTGATCAGGTATGTATTTGGAATCACGTTAAGAGTAAATTACGGCATTAGATGACCTTTACTTTGTGTTCCCCTTGCATTGCTTTACACTTCTGGTTGTACTTTTCTAGTTGAGTGATAGTGGCTAATAGTTTGCTTAATAGCTGTAATAATGATTAACTTTGAACTTATTTCATGGACATACTGTAAGCAGTCAAGTCAAGTTGAGGCAAGAAAAAAAAMMAAACAATGGAATTAGAGTCAAGTATCTAGATATCACAGGTTTAGTGGCTTCTTTCCATGTTTTTTTAATATAAGTTTTAATGTCACATTTTATGCAAAGTACTCATCCAGTGATGGTGGATCTAGTTGAAAAAAGGTGGATGTGCTGTTTCCATAAAGGCATGTAAGGGCATTTCTCATTAATGCACAGACAACATATAATTTGCCAACTGAGCTCAAACCAATTTTCAGATTTTTCTTAAAGTCAATAAATTTGAATGATGTGGCAATAYCCCCAAAAATCCATTCAACCGAGGATCTCACTGAACTCATAGATTTGTTGAAATCTTGCATTTGGTTTGTGAGAGGAGTACACCTAAATGGTGCTTGAAGGTGTGCACGTAAGGGATATGCTGGATCTCCATATATGCACATTGGATTTCCATTTTGAGCATATGCATATTGTTCCATGTTGATAAGCAAGTGTGAATCTCTGAGCATAGCTGCATCATGCTTTCTGCCTTCTGAAACATTCACAAACATTCTGAAACATTTCTGAAACATTTCTGAAACATTCTGAAACATTCACAGTCCCATCAACAAAGCCAAAGCAATTGTTTAGCGCTGCACCTTTCTGAGTTACGGCAGCTGCATACGTTTCTAAAAGTGCAGGGTTGAGGATATTGAAATTCCATTCGGTTATTTTATGGCTGTGATGATCATAAATCCAGTCGATTACATGATTGCAAATCATGCTTATTTCTGGCACTGGTCGTCCGAACCTGTGGATCATATCACTATACCGACAAGGGTATGCCAAACGCTTAAGGACTATGCAAAGTCCCTCCGTTCCTTCTGCCAGTGATCTTTGTTCGCATGAAAAAGCATCTGGCAATCCCAAGGCAACCTTTAGACAAGGAACATCACTTTTCCGAACTCGAAATTCGCGTAAACATTCTGCTTCGTCGATGTTTTCAAGCTCGAAGCGGCTGTAATTGCCGTGGGGAAATGGTAAATTTTTGGAGGTATTTGCTTCGTAGAGAATCAAAAATTCTTCTTCACTAATCCATCCATTTTGGAGACTTAAAAGAAGCATTTCTCTGGTTGTTTTTTTTTGAATGAACACATTATGACAAAAATCGTAAACAATTTGTTTCAATTACTGTAAATGCTTTTCACGTCCGGGACTCAAGGTGCTTAAGGTTTTTGGCGCCAAAAGGACACGACCGCGCGCGCYGTTCTCGTCCAAGGAATTTTCGGTCAAAATTCAACGTCCTAGATGCTTAAGGTCCCTAATGATACAGAGGCCACACTTGGTAAGTGGCTTTGCATTTATGATTAATTACACATCCCACCAAAAATAACTGTGTTCTTTGTAAATGAACTTAATAAATCAATAGAAAAGAAGGCCCGAAACTGAAGTGATCATAAGGAAATGATCCTCAATTAGCAGATAGGTGGAAGTAGAGAAACAGAGAGGGTCATCGTTTTCTGAAATTAAAATATAAACTAAAGGGTTTAATAATTTAAGGTAAATTTTAATCATTTCAACTGGTTCATTTAATTTACATTTAGTAAGAGCCACATTGTGTGATACATGAATATATGGTGTATACTGCAATTATCAGAACCCCCTTCACTCTCCTATACGACATGATAAAATGACAAAATACTTGTCACATGTCAGTCATTTCATATAAATACCTATGTCATGTATATTTAGGTAATTATATGTTTATTTTCTCAGATTAAAAAGCAGAGTAGCAATGACAGTATTGCAATATTTGGTCCAACCAAAACCTGGGTCTGTGTGTCAAAGTGATTTCATACAATTCAGTCCGGTTAGTATTATTGAAGTATTAGTATAAATTATAAATTTCTAACAAGTTTACACTTGAGTCACTATTCATTGATGCAGTCCACCCAAGAGTTCGAAAGCTAGCACTCTAAATCTCAACCTCCCGTGTATGTTCAGAATTGGATAAACTTATGCTAAGCATTGACCATTCCTTACAATTACTCCACCCTTGGTGGCAAAGTGATTTTTATGCCAGACAAATGGACTTGTCACCTTGGATCAGGTAATTAACAATCATTTTACCTCTCAATCACAATGC